AATGATAAAGGTGGCCTAGTGTTAGGCAGCATTTCATTCTGTTTTACACAAGGTCACTATGAACTCACGGACAAGCTCCTTCCACCACCCCCCAGCGAGCATCTTATAAAATCTCACTGTTACAAGGCTAAACATAACGTCTCTTAGATGCTGCCATTTCAAAATTCTATTTGAATAAGAACCGATTCAACAAAAGGTTTCCCTTCAATAAGCAACCAATGAGAACCTATTTTCTACTTCACTTAATCTTATATTCACGCTTTCCTCCACATAAGTTACCATTCAAAAGCAGACTTATTAACTTACTGAAGCCTGATGGTAATTAACACTCATTTTAAGGTGCTGATAATTGGACAAATAGAAACCTTTCAGCATTTAATTGGAAGTCTCTGCATAACGCTCCAAACCCCATTTGAGTATAGAGGGGGTTTTGTGGTTTACTTTGTTTTTGAGAAAAAGTCTATGGCATGAGATGACAATTTGATTTGAAGCCCATATTACTTATGCCATTTCTAAGGGAAATGTATAAAGAAAATGTATAAGACCGCAATCAGGCATAGACTGATGTAAAATTTAAATATAAAAGGTTAAAATAAATAAAAACAGAAAGAGAAAATTGGATTGCCATGCTTCAGAGGATTAAAGCAGCACAAGTTATTATTTTTTATTTGGAAGGGGAAGTGGCTTTGAAATTTTAAAAAGTTGATACCGCAAAAATACTTTTCTCTGTGATAGAAGAGTGAATCAAGCATACAACCAAATTACAGTGTTATTTTTCAAGAAAGATCTTAGGTTTAAGAAAGGGAAAAAAAAATCCTAGACTCATCTGGAAAGGATAAAATGGCATGGCATTTGTGGAATGATAAAGCTGTTAGAAATAAAATGATTTATTTTATGTAAACACACACATATTTACATATTTTGGTTCTTATGTTGGCTATTTTCATGTATAAAGATGGTAAATTTATTTCACCTTGGTACTCAACATCTAAATAGTTTGTAAAATTCTTATTCATGGTCATGACCAATCAGTGAGGAAACACATCTAATATTTCCAGCATATTAACTTGTTTTTTCTAGCTTTTTAAAATTATTTTAATGAAAGTTTTCAGAGATTTTTGATTTCCATTCATTCATTGTTGCACTTCCCCCCCGCCCCGACCATCCCTCCCCACCAGTTAGCTCCTCTTTGAAAAGTTAAAAAAAAAAACAACAAACTTTGTTATACAATTCACCCTCCGCCCCCAGTCCGTTCTACTATGAAGCTTTCATTGAGGACTCTTGTCATGAAAATAATACCTAATCATATATTCCTTTTAAATAGTTCTCTCCCTCATCTGTTTTAACATAGTATATATTATTTATCCCCTCTTTTCTTCGTTTCCTCCCAATCCCGATGTCAGTCCCATTTTACAACAGTGACACTATGCAGTATTTGTCCTTTTGTGACTGAGATATTTCACTCAGCATAATGTCCTCCAGGGTCACCCATTTTGCAAAATACTTCATGAGTTCCTAGTTTTTAAATGCAGCGTAGTATTCCATTGTGTGAATATACCACAGCTTCTCTATCCATTCGTTTGTTGATGGGCACTTGGTTTGTTTCCAACTCTTTGCTATTGTGAACAAAGCAGCAATAAACACGGGTGTGCGTATTAACCCCTCTTACTGATTAATACTACAGAGTTGTTAAACTCTCTCAGAAGTTGATTCCTGCTCACAATAACCATCCGTCGAGTTTCTGAGACTGTACAGATTACAGGAGAGGACTCTTTACTCCACAGAGTAGCTGGGGTATTGGAACTGCTGACCTCTTGGTCAGCAGCCTGGTACATGATGTGTTATGTCACCAAGATTCAAGACCGCAGTAAAGTAAATATATGAGAACAATGAATCGACATGTGTTCAGTTCAGAAAGAACAAAGAAACTGGGCTGAGCAATTGTCTGATGAATGGAGGGTGTCATCAGCTTCAGTTCAGGCTCAAAGGAAACATCTATAGTAAAGTCTGTAGTGGGCAGAAAAATGACCTCTCCCAAATCTCCACATTCTAATCCTTAAGACATAAGAATATATTACATCACTGGGTAACTAGAAAATAAAGCAGCCAGTGAATCAGATCAAAGTGCTAAAGAGCAATGATGTTAGTCTAGAGACTAAGGTGTCTCTGATGTAGGCCATACTCTTAGCAATTACTTGCCATGCATCAGAGAGTTGGACAATGACTAAGGATGACAAAAGAATCGATGCCTTCAAATTTTGGTGCTGGAGAAGAGTATTGAACATATCATGGACTGCCAAGAAAACAGATAGGTCTGTCTTGGAGAGAATGAAACCATTTTCTCCTTGGAGGCAGCAAGGATTTTGAAGTTCCGTCTTATAAACTTTGGGCACGTGGCCAGGAGCGACTAGTCTTGGAAAAGGAAACCATGCTTGGACATTTGTCCCATGATTGCTTATATCAAATAATTGTAGGAGGACTAGGGGTAGAAAGTAGCACTTCTGATTCCCATCTCCTATTCCATTGGATGTAAGGGAAGTCTTCCTAGGATGTGACCAGTGATAACTTTTATATGAGGAGGAACGTTTCATACCACTAAGAAATTGTCACTGAGAGTGGATTGCATCTTTTGGAGGTCCCTGGTCGACAAGACTGCATGACATCAGGGAATGCCAGAATATGTGACATCTATGGATGCTGAAGTCAGCAAGGCCTTCCCTCCACAGTAACAGGGAGAGAGGGCCCTTCACCTAGAGCTAGCCCTCCAAATTTGAACATCTATCCTCTATGGACCCCCATGCCAGTACATCTCATCTCCACAATACCTAGTATGTCAATATTTATGCGTTCCATTCCTTCCTTAACAAGATCTAATTTTCCTACATTCATGGTTCTCACATCCCATGTTCCAAACGCTAGTGTCTGCTTACAACTGTTCCTCTTCGTTTGTATTTCCATACTTGAAATCTCCGCCTCAAGCTGCCCTCTCTGGTGGCCTAGTGAGAAGCTGAGCTACAATCCCAAAGACACATGGTTCAAACCCACTAGCTGCTCTGTGAGAAGAGAGGAAGGATGGGCAGCCTCTTCCTGTGCAATTTACCGCCTCTGAAAACTCATGGGAGGTTCGGATATGGGTCAGTTCTGACTTGATGACACACAACAACTGCCTTCTAAACTGGACGCTAATAGCTCACTTTGTTAAAGTTTCCCACTTGCTGGTTACTGTAGCATCACATAACTAAGGCTGTCACGTCAGCTCTCTGGAAGGCTTCATTATCATTATCTGACCAGTCCAACAGTGAAATTCCAGCAGGATTTAAGGACACGAGAACTATGAGCAAACCACTTAAAACTAACAATTTGAGGGCTGTGAATGTTTGCCAGGTGTTCAGAAATCGTCAGAGCTGCCACCACCGAGCCCAGCGCTCTTGTTAGCATGCGAGGTCTCGGTCGCAGCTGCCAGAAGACAATCCAGCAGTTCACAGCGCTCACCACCTGGATGGATTTTATTCCTAATGAACTGGTACATTTCCCAAAATTTACGTAAAATCCAATATTAAACAAATGACAAAGCCCTCATCAAATAAATTGCTACAGACAGTCTGGTGCGTTCTGTTTTATAGCGGCAGATACTATACATGGTTCAACATCTAAAGTCCAAGCCATCAAACTCCTCACACTCAATGCCATACAGATGAAATCGACTCAGGGCTGACCCTCTGCAGGGATTCGGGAGACTGCAAATCACAAGGGAGATTGTCTGACTTTCCCCCAAACAGCTACTGGTGGATCTGAACCGCGAACCTGTGGGTTTGCACTGTAACTCCTTATGCATGAAATCACCAGAGGGCCTTCTTATCAAATCACTAGGATGCATTGGCTAGGTTCCTCCTTTTTAGAACATCAGCAAAAGTGTTATAAAACTACACAATGATTGTGCTATTCAGTACAAAAACAATAGACAGTAAATATTTTTTTTTTTTTTTAGTTTTAAAAGGAGATTTTCCTGTAGCAGGAACTAGACATTTTACTTTGTGCCATATTCAATGCCGGACTGTCTGATGGGCCATGCTCCTCAGCAGAGAGCACACCTAGACGATCTGCTTTCCTGGAAAGCCCACGGCCTAGAGGGCCTCACATCCTCCCTAGTCCAATTCTCTTAGCTCATCCCACTGTATACAAATTTAAGACTAAACGGTAGCTTGGGAGAGACCATTGTGATAGAAGGTGACTAGGTTTACCCAGAGTGTAAAAAAAAACAAAAAAGTCTTAGAGCCTAATTTACTCCTTTCAGATTAACATCACTCTTTTCTTTTCTCTCCATCACACAATGACTTTTTATTTCTGATCGACATAATCAATAAATAAAGTTGGTTTTGGGGGGCAAATGTTTTTCTTATTGGCCACCAGCCAAAGTCAGCATCACTGAGATGAAACCAGAGTTCTCCTTAGTCCTTAAGAAAGGTGGGGAAAGTGAATCACCTGATCTCCACTTAAATTTTATTGTTTTAGCACTTGAGTGCTTTGAGAGATTTGGGACCTCCTGTTACAACGCTAATGATCCCAAAGGAATCGTGGGAAAGCTCACAGACTAAGATAATCGAAGACAAAAGGGTGGACTTGGAAGTCTCAAGTCTGACAAAGGAAACAGTCTGGGCCCTGAAAGAATTCACTCCCTTTTTTCAGAGGTGTGGCTGAATGTCCCTAAGTCTGACTGGTATCCAGAGAAAAACATACTGCACACACACAGTGTTTTTAAAACATTATAAAACATTTTCCTGTGTATATTCACAATCATGTATGTGTGATTTTGCCCAGGATTAAACAGTTGAATAGAGTATAATAAATTCAAAAGTCAAAACATAGAAGGAGTTAAAATTTTATCATTGAATTCTGACATGCTCAGTTATTGAAGAAAAATGTTTGAGAAATCTTTTCTCCTGCAAGATTACACCAGCAAAATACTTTTTTTTTCAGTGAATACTGAATGATAAACTTACATCGGAATTAAATCTCAACTGGCAAATGTTGCATGATATGATTTGCTTTCTTCGATGAGGAAGAGGAACCCCGAACGTATGATTTATTACAGCTTTCTGAATCGGGTCCATCTGTAATGAGAAAAAAAAATAAAACAAATAGAAATAAAGCTTGTCAGTTCCATTGGAATGTTGCCTATTTCATTAAAAAGCCAATCTGTACAGCTTCAATCTACTGCACACATAATAAAGAACATTTTTAGTCTAAGAAATGGCATTTCTACTTTGAAAAATAAAAGACAATAAGCTCGAAGCTCGATATGATAAGGAGATGATAAATGTACCCATTAGAATCTGCATGCTAACCATTTTCTCATTTAAGATCAACAATTGTTCCAGTTTGCTAAACCTTAAGTAAAATTAAAAGCAGAATCAAAATCCAAATATTTATTAATACCAGTGGTCTTACACAGAGGTCTGTCCATAGTGCATCCATCATTGCCCCAACCAGAACACTGCTGTGTGACAGGCACACTATTCGGGGTTCTTAGAGTTGGTTCTAGAAATAGGTTCTGTTTTCCACATCGTCCACAAAACAGGACAAGCAAGTGATCCATACAAATCTGAATGTGTCCAACTGCTAATCAAAAGAATGCGTCTTTGACCCACCAACCATTCCTGTTCTATAAAGACCCAGGGTTGTTTGGGGGTCGTGGAGTCAGAACCAACCCAGAGCTGTCCCTCTCGCCAGTTTGCAGAAGCAGTAAATAGTCCAGGAAGGAATTGCACATCTTTTTAGTGATCTACACCTCTAAAACATATCTACACATATGTGTAGAGTAGCTGGTGGATTCGAACTGCTTGTCTATGGGTGGGTGACAGCACTCTTTACCATTAGCCCATCAGAGCTTCTATAAAGATTTACCACCTTAGAAGCCATATGCTCAGTTCCACCTTGTCCAACAGATCACTGTGCATTGCAATCAACTTAACGGTGACAGGTTTCGGGTTCTCACCAAGCCATAGGCCATATCGGTGGTTGTGAACTGTTAACAGCAGATCCAAATTCCTGTAAGCTTGAGCAAGCATTCTGCTTCTGTGTCCAACCCCCATAGCTGGGATGGGGTTTAAATGTGATCATTCAAGAGGCTTCCTTGGCACAGTGAGTAATGAGCCCACTAAGAACAATAAACGTGACTATGAGGTTTTCTCCACGGCACAGCATGTGAACTTGAGTGGGAACAAGAATCTCAGACTTCTCAAGAGGTCTGTCCCTGGCGTCTCATCCACTTCTCACACGGTGAAAAACATCATAACACTTCCAAATGCTTCCAACGTACGGCAGACAGTCGTGACTTCTGAGGATTACCAACAAGTGCCTGAACTTTTAACTTGGATGCAAAGTTCCAAGACAGTTTGCACAATGGGCTTGATTTTGATGAGATCACAACACAAAGAACATTAAGAATGTATCCGAGACACGATGTTCTAGAATTCAACTTGCGTGACACATTATAATTTCTTAATTCTCCTAAACAATTAAATGATGTATTCCGCCTCTTATCTCGCATTTCAAATAATCAGAGTCAGTTAACTCATAGCCTCTCTCCACTTATTGTTTTGTGCCCTTAGGTTGATTATGATGCATAGGGACCCTGTGAATAGACGCACTGACCCCTACCCTAAGCTGTGCCAACCTCACCATTTCCAACACACCTGAGTCCAATGATTCAATTATCACATCAACCGGTCTCATCCAGGGTCTTCCTCTCTGCACTGACCGTCTATCTGTTCAAGCATAATAAATATCCTTCTTCAAGGGTTGGTCCCTCCTGGCAACAGGCTCAAAGTACATGAGATGGAGCTTTAAAATCCTTGCCTCCATGAAGCAATCTAGTTTCACCCTTTCCAGAATAGACTGTCTCTCTTGGCTAAATACTCTTCTCCAGCACCACATCTCAAAAGTACTGACTCTTCTAACGTCATCCTTAGTCACTGTCCAACTCTAAGGTGCATGGTAAGTAATTGAGAAGACCATGGCCTGGATCAGGCCCACGCTGGTCTCTAGATGGTCATCAATGCTTATTATTGCTCCGGAGAGGTCCCTGGCAGCAGACTTTCCTAAAACAACTTGTCTTTTGATTTCCTGATGGCTGGTGCCGAGAGTGTTGATTGTGGACCCAAGCAAGATGAAACTGTTAACAACTTCAGTCTCTTCTCCATGTATCATGATGTGCCGATTGGTTCAGTAGTGAAAGTCTTTATCTTCTTGATGTTGAGATGAGATCCTTTATGGAGAATTCAGTCCCGGACCTTCTGCAGCAAATGCTTCAAGTCCTTCTAAGTTTCGGCAAGCAGGGTGCTGTCATCCGTGTAACGCAGGTTGATGAGCCTTCTTCCAATCCTGATGCCATACTCTTCTTCATAAAGTCTGGCCTCCAGAATAACCTCCAGCAGATAGATTAAAAAGGTTTAGAGAAAGGATACATCCCTGACATACTCCTTTCTTGATTTTGAACCATGCAGTGTCCCTTTGTTCTGTTCTGAGAAATACTTCCGGGTCCAACTATAGGCTTCACATGAGCATAATCAAGTGTTCTGGGATTCTCATTCCTTCCAAGGTTAGCCACAATTTGTTGTGATCCATGCAGCCAAATGCCTTTGCACAGTCAATAAAAACCAAATATTCCTATGGTACTCTTTGCTTTCAGCCAAAGTCCATCTGACATGACAATGACTGTTATAAATCAGAAGTGAATGGACTACAATGGGAATTGATTGGATACCTTTTGTCCCTGCCATGCTGTGTTGATTTTATAGGACATAATAGAACAGCCTCAGAGTATTGTATGCTCTCTCTAAGGAAAAACTGCCAGGTCTCTCTCCAAAGGAGCCACTGTTGGGTTTAAACCTCCCACCTGTTGGTGAGTAACCAAATACTTAATTACTGTGCCACCAGGGCTTCTTCTGTATTGTCTAAGTGTTCTAAACATTTGTTCTAAATGAAAACAGTGAAAATCATTGGGAGCTAGAGATATAGCCTAGTGGTAAGAATCTGTGCTGCAATCCCAAAGGAACACGGTTTGAATCCACCAGCTGCTCCATTGGAGAAAGATAGGCCATCTCCTCCCATGCCATTCACCACCTCTAAAAACCTGCTGGAGGGTTATCTGTGGGTCAGTTCTGACTCGACGGTGCTAAGAAATGGGTTAGTGATTAAAGGGCAAAGTTGCACAGATTCTGGAGAACTCAGACATGTCATCATTTGCGCCTGGCACTGACGCTTTAATGTATCAGGAGCTAATTCATCGTTACCCAGATTCTTGATGAGGCCTCGGGCTGCCTCATCATTTTCAGTTCGCTTGTAGGTATTAAACGATCCTCTCGCTGCTGTTTCTCTCTTTTTGGAGAAATTCACCATACTGTTTTAGAAAACTCATTGAGGTAGAACTTATATTCAATAAACGTTTATATATAGATGCCATTCTCAGCATAGAATTTGATGGGATTGGACAATTTGCACAATGGGACTTTAGCATTCACATAACTTCATCAACTCTCCTTCCAGCCTCACTGTCAAAACCTGCACCATAACCTCAAATTTTGGTAAGAAGCTACACTGCAATACAAAAGGCACACAGTTCAAATCTACCTGTTGCTTCATGGGAGGATAGGCAATCTCCTTCCGTGTAATTCAATGCCTCTGAAAACCCACAGGAGGGTCAGCTAAGAGTTGGTTCTGATTCAACGGTACACAACAACAACAACAACAGAGAAGTTCTATAGATGAATTACACAGTAGGTGGTGTTTGGGGCCAAGCTGTTTTCATTTAAAATGACAAATGTGAGGCACAACCATGTATTCACCTTAGGAGTGGTATCTGGTTTTCTACACCCTTAGATTTTACTCTAAAAGGCATGGCTTCACACCAACTTGCAATTAACCAGAAGGCAACCAGTAAATGCCCCCGTGAAAGAAAAACTTTAAGTGCTTTCTTTTTCTATTGGCCAGCTGATGAGCATTTGAGATGTTTCTAGTAACTTCTATACTCATGTCAATCCTTCATAAACCAAAGAAATGCACTCTTCAGTATCTCTGATTAAACACTGTTGTTGTTTTTGTTAAGTACTGTGGAGTTGTAGACAACTCACAGCAACCCTATGAACAAAAGATCTGAGCACTGTTCATAGAGTTTCCGGAGGTAAGCCATTTCAGATCAACTCCTGCTTCCAAGCTTGTTTTAATTGGAGAGCTCCACCAAACACTGTCCACCATGGATAACCATTATCACATTTGACACATCAGTGTCACAGTGTTTAGCATCACAGCAACCATGAGTTACCTCTGTACAGTAATGCACAGACCAGTGCTGTGCCACCTAGTAGAATGTTTGACCCAAATCAATTTCAACCAGGCCTGAGGGCCGCAGGCCCAAGTGCCCTAATGAGTTTTTAAATAGGAGGCCTTATCATATGTCCTCACTTCCCTTAGCAAATCAACATTCCACCCTAGCCCTCACCAAATCCCAGCCAACAGCTTCTGTAGAACCAGCTCCTGTAGATGGCTTTCAAACTGGTCCGCAGCCGTTTAAACACTAGAAAGTTAATTTAAGATGGCAACCGCTTTGTTGCTTATCTGGGTTCTGCTATAGTCGAGTAGGGTGGAAGGTCGCAGTGGCCTGAAACATGCTTCTTGTCTGTGTATACTGCTAATTCCCCACCCTCTTTAACCTCCCAGCCTTTCCTCCACCTCCTCTCATCCTTCTTCCTCAAAACCCAACCAAGCAATGCACAGAGCTCCGGCCAGCCACCACTCAGAGTGCTCAAACCCTCGTTCTGCTCCCTGGAATCATTCTGAGCCTGCATTTAAAATGGCATCACCAAACGTCTGTGACAAGAACCACCAAGAACCCCGGGGGACAATTATCCCATCAGCCAACAGCAGAAAGAGAAATTAAAAGCAGAAAAAAGGCCACTGGCTTTGAGGGAGTTGCCTCCTCATCTTTTGTTGCATTTGTTTCGAGCATAAATAGGGCTCATTTCTATCGAGGGAGGAGGTGAATTATGCCTAAAACCCACGAAGGAATATTAAAGTCCTCTCATAATGAGAGTCTGAAAGAAAAGGGAACGGT